GAAGTAACAACAAGTACACAAAGGAGTTCGTCTGAACCAAAATTGGAATCTTCAAGTCCAGTCATAAAATGAATATATTATTCTATAAATGGCACTAGTAATATTAACTGTTTCCTTATAAGGAAACATTCAGCATTCATTGACTGAGCAATCACTATTTTCTGTCAAAATTCATAAAATCTTTCTATTAAAAGAATCTCAAGTTCACTGTTATCACTCATTCCTTTATTTATGGGGTGGGATTCCGTCATAACCTTTTGTTTGAAGTAATATGGAATATAAACATCTTGATTGTGTCATTATTTTCTCTTCAAGTTACATGTGTTATCCATTTTAGTTGTTGCTGTTGCTGAAAGTTTCCAAATGGTGTAATTTCTGTTATTTAGTACAGTTTTTTGTTTATGATTCTATAGTGTCAGTTCATGAGGTTTGAAGAACGGTCGTCATTACTTACACATATAGGTCCTTGTGTAAAGATCTGAAATTACAAAATTAAAAGGTTTTATATAATAAATCTTTCTTTTATTAAAATTTCATTCCAATAAAATAAATATACCTCTTTAATCTGCGGCAAAAGGCTTGAGAAAAGAATCTTAGCTTCATTACTTTCTGTTATTTCTTTTTTTTTATTTACTTTGATAAGATTGATCTTAATAATAAATATCAGACCATAAAAATAAATGATGCTTATGATGCTAAATATTTTTGCTCCCATGTATAGTTTATAAAAACAAGAAACCTTGATGGATGCCTTACTACAGAGTAGTGCAGATTAAGATCACAAACAATTACTATTCACCGGGAGTTTTACACTTGAAACTTTGTCATATTAAGTTAATCTTTATAAATATGAATAAGTAATCTCAATTCTGTGTATAATTTGCAATAAGTTATTTTATTGAATAAAAAAAAAGAAAAGAATATAAGGTAAAATATTTGCAGTCTTCACAATAAACTAAATAATAAATATGTTCCTCTTTCTTTTCTCATTACAAAACCATAATACATCTGATTGACACTGAACATTAGAACCTGTTTACATAGTCCCATTTTATTGTACCAAATTATCATTTCTTTTATATTTGACACTTTTAATCTTGGAACAATATTTTAAAATAAAATATAAAGCAATTTCATTATTAATACTTACATCTTTTAGATCAAGATCAACATTCTCCCCCCCCCTTTTTTTAATCTTGAACATTTAATCTTTATATTTTAAATCTGTTATTAGAGTGACACTGATAAATGCTAGCATGTTTGGTGTAGAATTGAATCAACCATTATAAGCTACACAATCCCATCTATATACCTCAAGATAAAGGAAGGGTAGTGTAATGAATGCTATAGATAAAACCCTCTATTTTACTTAATCAAATTGGTAATGCTATTTAATTTTGATTCATAAAATCTTTAAGCTTAAAACTATGGAAGTACATTCAATAAAACTGAAAATAAACTAAAGCATCAATAAATTAGAGACAGCTATGAAAATAGAATGATTAATATAAATGAATTGCTTAAAAATGTAGTACAAATGTGTTTCCATTTGTTTGATGGCAACTTAATGAAAGATTGCAGTACATATAATAGTTGTTTGGATAAAAAAGTAACTTCAATATACAGTGGTGTGTAAAAGTTTTGGTCAATGCAATATACATTGCAAATATGGTAAAATTTGGTGGTGGACATGTAATGGTGAGGGGTTGCTTGAAAAGCAATAGTAGAAGTAAATTGGTGGAAGTTGATGGCAGCCTAAATGATGAAAATTACGTTAATTTACTATGGTAATCTGCCAGACTATAAAGATGGAGAAATTTTTCAGTGTGATGATGTACTTTGCTATATATCACAATCACATACATTAAAAAGGTTTCTTGTGAATGAAGATGTACAACTTTTGGAAGACTGTCCAGCACAAAGTCCTGATCCCAATATAACTGAACTGAAGAAACAAGTGCTCCAACAAAAACTATGAAATCTCCAAGAATTTTGGGATTATGACCAAGAAGAATGGAAAAAATTCATAATGAAAAAATCTTGACCTTATTCCATTCAATTCTACATTCATTTGCAAAAGGCAGCAATACTAATTGCTAATTCCATACTGTGATGTTTTGTACTTTCTGTAATAATAAAGATTACTTTTTGCAACAAAAAAAAAAATTCTTTTTAACATAATGAAAGAGCAAAAAAGTGAAATTTTTACTGTATTTTTGCACAGCTTTTTTTCAGTTACTATGCTTAAGATGCTCTTTCCTTAATCATATTCTGGGTTTTATATACATTAATAAAATTGTCTATCAATTTCTGAAGTCAGTCACTCCATGTTTTTTCATTTGTTCAGTCACGTTATTACTTTTCCAATCATCAGTAGATTACTTGAAAAGTAATAACATCTGATTTTATGTTAAAGTTATACGCAACATTGTATCCTCTTTTACAAAATAATCAAGTAGGTGATATGTACTTGATTACATGGAGTTTCTTGGCATTTTGTCTCAAGTTTTTTTTGCAAGCCATGTTTGATATGTTAAATTTCTAAAGTTATTTTCAAAAGTACTGTAATTTGGCTGAAGCATATCAATTTAAAAAATATAGTTTTTTTTTAATTTAAAAATTCTTTATAATTTTGTTGTTTCACAGTTCTTTCGAAAATATCAAAAGAGCTCTATTATTGAGTTTGGGCCATTTTTGGCAGCACCGGACAGAGCAAAATTATGGTGATCTGTTCAATACATTCATCAATTCAAACCTAACTAGTAACGTTCCAAGAGCCATATCAGAGCAAAAATGGAGTTTTGCTGTCATATTTGGGCTGGAGCTACGCAGTCCTCACTTGCCTATCTTGGTAGAGTTCAAAAGAGTCTACATGGCCTTGGGAGTGATGAATTATTTTCCACCCCCTTTCCCAATTGCAAAACGTTGTTTAGCTTCTCAATACAATACTCTAAAAAATCCTGGGTGGGATGTTTAAAAACACAAATTTAAATGAAAAATTAAATTCTCAATAAAATTTAAGTTTTACCCGTGTACGATCTTAAATTATAAAATTAATAGACACAGGACTAAACTGCCGATTTCGTTCTCGGCTTCTTCATAGGAAAGTAACAACAAAAGTAAAACTACTCAATGAAGCAGACGATCTTAAAATTATTCGATAAAAACCAAAATATACTGTCCACAGATAAATATTTATTTTAATAAATCAAAAATTACATGCATATTGTTCCATAAGTAGTAACAAGAAAAATAAACAAAAGGATTTTTTTTTACTTACATAAATAATGTTGTCAGTCTATCATTCTATAAAGCTGACAACTTAAACATCTTTTTCTTTTTTTCAACATTTTCTTTACAATAAACAAATCTTGTTATAAAATTTTTTAAGTCTGTCTGTCAATTTCTTCAGATTCTTTTATGTTCTTTCTTCAAATACATTTCTTTTTTTTTCTTCCTTTGAAACTCTTTTTCCTTTTCTCAGGAGCTGAAAGTATAAATTAGAAAACACAAAGCCTAACCTTGTCTAGGATCTTAAAATCTTCTTATTACATGAAGAATATCCTTTAAAATATTTTAAATCTTATTTTTAAAGTAAAGAATGTGAATAGAGGTAAAATTCCCCGCATCGAACGACTCTGCCAATCAAAAAGAAACGTTGACTCTCCGAGTCAACAAACATCAATGCAATGATTCCCCTTCTAGGGAATTAAATTACTTCTTTTAGCTTCGGAATTCTACCGAAGCTAACAAAATCTTTTCTTCAAAGTTTTTCAAATATAAACAAATCTCAGCTACGGAATTCTACCGAAGCTAATAAAAGTTTCTCACAAAGTCCTTCGATGCGAAAACTCACCCTCCTCTCTTCCTATTCATAAATAAAACCAGAAAAGCTAAATAAATATTAACTCTATAAAGGTCGTAAATAATTCGATACTGTAAGTCGAATTATTAAAACTTTTAATTCGACTTACAGTATCGATAAAAATAAAATAAAATATGTTACTTTTAATTTAAAAGTAACACTTTATTTTACGTGGCAAACTAAATTAGTTAACCTCGGAGCTAGAATATTAAAAAACGTCTTAAACGACCGAGGATAAATATGACTTAGGATAAAAAAAATCTGATAAAAAGGAGTCGTCTGCAGTTTCCACTTCCATGAAAAAGAGCGGCAACAAAACACTATCGTCTGTTTTGCCATCAGACGCGTATTATACAAAATATCAATACATCATCTAATATTTTACCACTGAAGTTATTGAAAAAATGTCTTCTCACTTTCTATATATATTAAATTTCTGTAAATAAAAATTTTCCAAACTATTTCCATGGCATGTGTTTTTTGACAAACTACATTCCTTGATCCCACCAGCCCTGATCTTTGCAACTGGGACTCCCCATCCCACATGCACAAGGATGAATCCTCCTCATTCTTTTCATATTCCATTAGGAAGGAGGAAGTTCCACTCGGATTGCTTCTCCCTGAGAACTATTGCTTTGTAGAACAGACTCCCAGCAGGATGTTTTCACAATCACTTCAAGTCTAGAGTTAACTTATCTTTTCTGCATAACCTCATTAACTTCACTCCTTCCTTTTCTTATGCTCATACAACCCCATAACCCACTACTTTGAGTGGCTCTTGGGCCTTGTATTGAATGAACATTAATATAAAAAAAGGCCTATTATGAATTTTTAGGTGTGAAACAAAAACAACTATTTTGCAAGTAGCACAAGAAAGCAAAATATTAATACAATATATTAATAGTCTAAAGACACTGAACAAGAATTTACTCTTGTCTTGGGTATCCTATTTTTTAAATATTTCTTTCGTTCTTTTTATTTTTTTAATTTTTATTTATTTTTTTCCATTACGGAGAATGTTGTAATTATCTGACCTTGTTTGAAGGTTGTTTTGGATTTATGTCCGCTAGGGGGAGCACTGATCGCTCGACGAGACATAAATGAATCGGCGCGAGAAGATGACGCTAGAGTGAAAATGGCGGACACTGGTGCCGAGTCAACGTCGGTATTGAATGCAACAGGTGAAGACGTCGTAGGGGCTACAAATGGCACCGGTCGAGTACCAGCAACCCCTGAAGGCATGGTTGTTGCCTATAGTAGTTTGGTTATCATGGCCCTGTTACCTATCTTTGTCGGTTCTTTTCGATCGGTAAAGCACCACAAAGAACAGAAGGTGGGTAGCTCTACTACTACTACTATGCTAGTAATGTCCTTATCAAAAATATTATAAACGTTTTGTGCTATTCATGATATAATTTTAATTAGATAATATACATCTTTTATATCTATCTTAGGCTTCATTCACTGCCTTAATTTGATAATTAAAAAGAATATCTGCCCAACTCTTAAAAATTTTGTAGACCACTCCTGCTACAGCATCGCGTCCATATGCATTATATTTCAATTTCATATTCTTATTTGTATTTTGTTAATTCGCTCTCATTGATTTGGCACTTGATTTTTTTTTTCTTAAATTCTATTTTGCGATTTTAATCCAAAGTATTAACGAAGGCTTAGATTACATTTTGTTAACTACTATATGGGGTAAAAACTGAACATTTTTTTTTTTTTTTTTTTTTTGAGGAAGGCTAGGTGATTTAGGATCTACTCGATTCCAAATTGCTACAATTTTTCTCTGAAGGATGTAACAATAAGACACTCATCTGTTAAGTATTTATGATTATTACTTGCATAAATACCTAGATATAATTGTGAGCGATTTCTCGCACTTGAATCGTACCTAAATTCCAGATTTGCTTGTAAGTTAGTGTATTAACTGAAAATATACTAAAAACGTGAATACTGGTCCAAGTAGGCATCAAGTTCTGTCAAAATTTAAATATGGAAGTTTTTCTCTTTGCATAGCGACTAAAAATAAAAAAAAGCAATGATTTTTCTTAGTTCTTTACACACAATTGCAGATGAATGGCTTCACTCAGGGTTCAACAAACTCCACTAGATTGATCGTTATTTGCAGATATTTACTAGCGTTTTTTGCTATATTTTACTTTTTTACGCATTAAGTTGAAAGTTAATTCGTGCTAATTTAAAAAAAAAATTTATCAAATAGATCAATAACTCTGTTATTATCATTAGTTCAAAAACAGTATGACCGAGTTGCTTAGCTTACTTGAAAAGAATACCGAAGGCTTTTCTTTCAGTTAAAAAAAAATGTTCTCTTCGTTTGCTTCTCAAATTTTAGACTCGTAAAATGAAATGTTTGATTATTAATTGATCAGTTCTCTAGCTTAGCTTTTTAGCATCTTGGACAAATGTTTTACTTATGGTACGGTACACTAATGACTAGTTGTAAACATTCGGTTGTTGGCAATATATTTCGTTAATCTAAAGTACTTTCAGCTTTAAAGTAAACAAAGGTTTTTCTTTTGAAAAGAAAAGTAACATTTCATTTCAGCCATTAACTTTTTTCCTCATTCAACGATTTTTATGCGTGTGGATAGAACAAATTCCTAATTTTTTTCAAAATGGCAATAAGGGACGAATTCATGCGCGGAAATTTTCTGTTTACTTGTTCTTTAATTTTTTAAAAGCTGAATTTTGGTATAAGCGCAGACTTGATCATTCCCATACTTGTTTTGTTTATTAGATGGCTCCTTTGTTTTTAGTGCTTCTTCATTCTATTTCCGTATTACACGTGTCAGCATATGGGGGACCAGATATTATATCCGGGTTGATTTTATTGAACATGTCACTAACTAATTTTCCGAATCTTTTTTAAGGCAATTCTGGACGTTGCTCGCAATCTTAAACTAAACAACACATCACAATCACATGTAGAACGTTGTTGACATATGGGAATATAATGGGAGTGGGGAGCATATTTCTGACGTAATTAAAAATTTTATAATCGTTTAGAAAAAATGAAACTTAGTAAATTTATCTTCGGGAATTTTACCTTATTCATTTTAAGCTGATATCATTCCTTGTGTGTAATAAATTTTATTTAGAAATAATTCAAAATAATTTTGTTACTTAGTGATACCAGCGCATATGGTGTCGTTCAAATCACACGGGGGCTGTCTACTTTTTCTTTCTTATCTTTTATCTACGATTTTTTTCAGGACAAAGATAAATAACAATTGAGTATGAAAGTTACAATCAATAATATCAGCCTTATTGTTTTAAAAGTAAGAGTAGATTTGATTTATATAAAAAACTCATTAAAGTGGTCGATCTTCATGTTAAAAAAGAAAACTAAAATCCACTTTCTGTGAATTGTATAAAAAAGCTGTTCATTTGGAATTTATTTGTATGAATCTGTTTTGGTTGTAAAATTTGATTTTTAACAAATTTAAAATCAAAGGTCAATTTGTATTGTCACATCAAAAGTTTAAACCTTTGTGACAATTTGGAGTAGACAATTATTAAGAAAATATTAAAGAATTTATTTCTTTCTACTCAATTTTCAGAAATTATTTTTTCCTAATTCTTTTATTTTGTGAAAGTACTTACTAATATTTATTTTTATATCGCTCACCCCACACCCACAAATTGCCATTCCAGAAATAAATTGAATGGGGGTGGGGGAAAAAATAATTCTCATTACTTGTACTGCAGGTAGGGGTCGCAAGAAATACATCCCCACACCTACGCACCTTTATGTAAGGGGTTATTTCGTTGCACTTGGTAAGATATAAATTAGGTGTTTTGTACCTCTAAAAAGTCGATACATAATATAAAAAAAAAAAAAATTGCACAAAATATAAAACGATATTTTATCGTCAAAACATTTTTGTGCTATTTTAAGTCTTAAAATAGCATCTTAAAATTTAAGATGAAAGATCAAAGGATTTTATTATGTAAAAAAAAAAAAAATTTAGAATATAGAAGATTTTCGTTAAAAAGCTTTTTTTTTTTTTTTTTTCTTGTCTCAATTAGTATGGGAAATTTGAGCGTCTTTTTGCAGTGAAAAACATTCATTTGGAAATTTTTGTAAAAATAGTTAAACAAAACAATGGAAATAACTATTGTTTATATACCATAAATAATTTGCAATAATCAAGAAATTGGTATTTATGCTTAAAAATAAATTCTTTAAAGCCTACTGATTTTCAGCTTAGTTATATTGGCACTTGACAAGTCATTGGGAAATTGGTGGCATCTATAGTGAATCAAATTAAAATTTGCTTATTGGTGAAGGAGTTAAAGCAAATCTATACTTTAAATATGAACTTGTAGCATAATTAACCCATCTAAAAAGTGTTTATGTTGGAAAGTTCTTGGTTTTAGAAGCCCTTACAAAAAAAATTTAATCAAATTTTAGGTAGTGGGTTGGGTAGTAATTTTCAGCACTAACTCCCTGTGTGTGTGTTGGGGGGGGGTCTATTTGAACTAAAGTTCCCCTAATACAAGACTCGAGAACAACTCGAAGAGCCAGTCAACAAAATGATAATGCTGGATGAGATGTGTAATAAACATACATTTTAAGCTAATCTTGGCCAAAAGTTTTAGTATAAGATTTTTCTACATGATTCATTAACTCTACACAAAACATAATCTTTGGATTCATTATTTAAATCCAAGTTAATACTATTTCTATAAAATATTTACTGTCAAACTGCTTGTATCACAAAATTTCTGTTGTGAATAGATTTTATTTTCCTCTTTAATTACTAGATTATTTTTCTCGGTTATATTATTGTTTCTTCCCAATATTATCTCTGAATGACATTTGCTTATAGGTATCTCCACAAAATCGCTAAAAAAAGAGCATAGCTTGATGAAAAAGACGCCAACCTTGCCGAAAACAAAATTCTATAAATGCTTGTTATTAAGAGGAAAGACCGAACTTTTGTTTTTTAAATTTTTTCTTTTTATAACATTCTAAATTTTGATTAAAAAAAACCTTGTTTCTCTTTGTATCACCGGAACTAGTAAAATAACAGACAATTTTTAGCACGTTTTTTGGTATGGCACATTAATTTTCAAAAATAAAAATAATTGTTGGATGTTAATGAAACTTTCAGGAATTCTTCACAGATGATCGAAATTATAAATGTTTTTTTTTTTTTTTTTTATAAATTTACCCCCCCTAACTAATTTTATGGAAACGCTAGAAACTCAATCGCATCGGGTTTAGTGATTACAATAGTTAAAAGCAGGAATGCAAATTGTTTTTTTTTTTTTTTTTTTTTTTAATTGGACCCCCCCACACACACACAAACACACATATCTGAAAATCAGCTCTGAATTGTAACATACAAAATTCAACAAAGCAAAGATATTATTTAATTTCAAATTCTTTTATTTGTTTTTATGAATATGGACAATTATTGTTTGAAAGCAAAAAAATTTTTCGATGAAAAATGAATTTTTAATACAATAATTTGTTATTTCTTAATCATAATAGATTTTTACATTTAAGTTGTTTTAAAATGTTATAAAATTTGTTAAAAGCTGCATCGGGTTTCCTAAGTCTCTTTATGAGATTTGTTTTTTTTTAGTGGGTTGTAAATTGTATCATTTTTACTAATAAGAAAATCTGCAGTAATTAAATGTAATTTTGTGTTTATAATCGGGCTTTAATTATAAAGTACGGAAGACCAACCAGAATACAATTAAGTTGCGTTATTTGAGTTAAGCATTGTTCTCTGCTATTAAGGCCTTTAGTTTTGTGAAACACGTGTGGAGAAGTTAATTTGATTTTTCAATTTCAACTGAGGAGGGTACCTACAAGTATCAGTATCATCTTATGAAATTTATATGATCTTTTTATATTAATCTCAGTTATGACATTTTTCCATAAATGAAATATCAAAATTAATAATAAAATGGATGGAAATACAAATAACACAGTAAAATGTAATAAATGTAAAGAAAATTATAGTATTTTATTTTCCATAAAGCAACATAAAGGTGAAAGCTCAGTACAAAAAAAAAAAAAAAATTAGAGCACTGAAATTTTTCTTTAAAAATAACAAGGTAAATTATTTCACTTTTCTCCTTCCATAGAACAAATTATCCTCACGGAATCTGTCAATGTCATTCATCATCTGTCAAGTGACGCGAAAATTTATGACCTGCTTTGTTTTATTTTCAAATTACATCTTTTTGGGGCAGAAGCTAAGTTAAGCTTGGTTCAAAATATTTTAAATAAACATAATTTCTGATTTTCTTAAAATAAGTTTTGAAAAAATGATAATTGATATTTAAAAGAATTTCAAAGTGAGATTTCCAGTTTTTTTTATAAAATTGAAAAAAATGATCAATTTTGCTGACTTAAAAAAAAAAAAAAAAAAACAAGATTTTTAACATTTTGGGCGTGCTAGGAACGATTTAAAAAAAAAAAAAAAAAAAAAAAATACCCCAAAAATACTTTGATCTTTCCTCTTAATAATAAACATTTAGACGATAAAGTTTTGTTTTCATCAAGTTTGGCGTCTTTTTCATCATGCTATGCTCTTTTTTTAGTGATCTCATGGAGGTACCTATCGCTAATGCCTATACAGGAAGAATTTTTGTCAAACTTGTTGCGATTTTCTTTTTTCTCTTTTATTGTTTTGTATAGCTTCTTTCCTTTGATTTATTTGCTAGAACCTGTTCATTCTGGCCGATTTTTTTTTTTTTTTTTTTTTTTTTTTTTTTTATACTGAACTTCAGATTTCAGAATTTTTTTCTTTTGGGATTATTTTCAAAAATGTTTTGTAAATTCTTTGAATTGGCAAATTATTCATATTTACAATAAAATCATTTATTTTAAACTTCTATGGTTGATGTACTTGTTGAAATTGCAACAGCAAGCTTACATAAACTTTTTTTTTTTTTTTTTTTTTTTTTTTTTTTCCACCTCCTTTCAATAACATCTTAGTTGGTTACATTTTTGGAAGTACATATCAAGAATTTACACTTAAAAATACCCAAAGCAATAAACAGAAATTATTTTGATCGGTAAATCCCTATCAATTATCAATTCCAAAGTATTTACTCTAATTTGTAAAATAAAGTAGCAACTTTGTTTTATCATATTTAGATGAAGAATTTTGATGTTTGTTCATAAAGTTAGCCACTCAAGGTAGAGTATCAGTCAACAAAATGATAATGCTGAATATAGGTGTGATAAACCTTAATTTTAGGCTAATCTTAGCAGCAAAAAATTCTTAGAATAGTACACTGTCTTTTAGTTATGTAATTTATTGCTTACTGAAATTTGTTGTAAAAACTAGTGCTTAAATTGTTTTTTCTCAATGTGAAATTTCATTGAATATAAAAAGGAAAGTTTTAATCACTTTAAACATTACTTTTAGTGGTTACCCATATTTGAGTAGACACAGTTTATTTATTAAACATTACATTTGTTTATTTTTCATTCAACAGTCTGAATATTAGAGAAATCTTATCAAAGAAAACTGTGCTCTCCAGCAGTTCAAACCTGCATCCTCCTTTGCAGGAGAAACTGTTGTTAGATCCGACATGCTTTAGATTGACTCGGCCACAGAGAATGTCACCAGTCAAGCAAGACTGAATAGTGCCCTATAAGCACAGATCCCTCTCTGATTCTTGAAAGTCTATACCTGCTCAGTTTTGTGTTAAGAAAAAGAATTTCTAGAATGTGAGAGGGATTTGTGCTTATAAAACACTATTCAGTCTTGCTTGTTTATTGAGTACCTCTATTTGCTGAGTCTGTCTAAAGCGCTACAGTTTCTCTTGCAAAGGAAGATACAGGTTCAAATCCTGCTGGAGAGCACATTTTTCTTGAAGATTTTTCAAATATTCAGGCCAGTAGTAGTGTTTTAGATTGCTTATTTAAAACTGTAATCTTAAAACTTATCCCTTGCAATGACTCTAAGAAGGATCAAAATTGAACTTTATCATACATATTTAATTTGACCAAAGTAATGTTATGCCTTTGCATTCTTTCAAGAATTTTTTTTCTGTTCTATGTTGCCTCTGTTTATTCCATGGGTGTAAATAATGCATACCATTTTATACCCATCATTTTAATTCTAATATATATGAATGAAAACAGATCTCTTTTCAGGAATCTGGAGAGAAGCCAGAGACTATGTCCAGTAAGGATGCTGCCATGTTTCCCATCATAGCTAGCTGTACTCTCTTTGGTATATACATGATTTTTAAGGTAAGCTTTAAGCTGAATTAACAAGAACCAACTGAGAAAAAAATTTATGATAAAAGTACTTTCCTTATTTTTTTTATAGTTGTGACTATTTGCACAAAGAATATCATTTCCTACAACACTAAAAGACTGATAATCTTATGTGCTTTATTTAATAGTGGACTTTGTTGATATCTAGAATACAGCATTGTGATTTTCCCCTCCCCTCCTCTCAAGAGGTCAAAGGAATCATTGAAAAAGTAATTGATGTGAAATAATCTTTGCTTTCTTTGTCATTTCTTTTCAGGTCATTGTAATTGACCTTAGCAAGAGTTTCTTGCTGTTAAGTAGGCACATTTTGCCAATAGTATATATTACATAAATTCACTTTTAATTAAAGATTTTTTATTTTTTATACATGTTAAATGGGTAACTTATTAATTTGAAATGATTTCATTATTTAACTAATCTCTTTAAATAAACAAAGAATTGCACCTTATTGAATTTGAAACCAGATTTTCACATCTGTATTGAAAATATGCTAAGAAGATTCCAAAATAATCTGATCAATGTTGTCTATATTTTCATCAGTTTTATTTTGTTTCTCTCTTTCAGGTATTCTCTAAAGAATACATCAATTTACTGCTGACTGTCTATTTCTTTGCTCTTGGTGTGTTGGCACTAGCACACATAAACAGGTATTTTTCTTACAATATACAAATGTTAATAAATAACTCTAGAAAATTTCTTTTATTGAAAGTTTTTCCTCTTGTCAGACTTTCTTCTCCTAAGAAACCCAAACTTTGTAAATGAATACTATTTCAGTTTTGTGGTAGCCAAAATTTGAATAAAATCAACCTTAAAATGTATATGATTAATGCAAAAACTTTGATCTTGAATAGTTTAAATATTGACACTACTACAGGGTAATTGAAAAGTAACTTCCTATTTTATGTATGAGTGGCCAGCTAGGACTTGTGACTTTTTTCTTTGGGGTTGGTTAAAGAGCAAATACAATAAATTTTGTCTTCCATACCACAAGGGTTCCTGGTGAAATCAGTTGACGTGATTCTTGGGTGGCTCAAAGCTGGTAGCAAAATCTGGTGCCAATATTGAATTTTAAATAAAACCTCATGCTAAATGCTTTCCTCTCGTATCCATTTCTTGTAAAAATTATAGTCACTAAATAAATTTTAAAGTATTTTAAAGTAGTTAATTTTCAGTCACCCTGTATTTAAGCAGCAACTTCTATACAGTGATCTGTGTTTAACTCATGGTCATCGCAAAATAAATAAATACACGAGTTCTATTTATTTTGTCACTGTTCTTAAAAAAAAAAAAAAATGTTCAGTTGTGATTGCACAAGTGTCCTGCCAGACAAATCGCCTAAAAACTGTTTCTCTTATCCTTAGGCTTCAAAATAGGCTGTTCAGATTGAAGTCTGCATTTGCAATGTGGCTCACAGTCTGGGTCTGGCAATTGTGGCAGCACCAAGCCTTGTACTTAATCTCCCAAGAAATGCTTAAAGTTGATTATAATATCACTGAAGCCAAGCCACTGGGTTTCAGGAGATTTTTGTACAATTTCCTGGGACTGGATCTCATGCAGATAGTTTCTGCATTAACTGGTGTTGTACTTGGACAAGATGTTATCAACTGTTGAGCATGGATTCCTAGTATGGTCTGTCAAATAGGCTCTTGCTTCCTGATGTCAGCGTCTTTTTCTCTTTCTTCTCTCTTCAAAGAGCAGTCTTTGCCTAATAACAATCTTATGCACTCTAATGTATTTTCTGTGCTGGCCTGATGTCTTAGTTGCAAACAAGTTGACTTAAAGTTGTGCTATTTATAAATTTGTTTTGATAAAACGTTGAGATTGGTTTATTTCTCTTCAGTTCTTGATAGTTCTGTAGTGATATGTGGGTGCACTTTTCTGCTTGAAAAGAGAAAAATTCACATACCCAAAACATTCAGCAAGGAAAAATTGACAGTTACTGACCAGATTGAAAGAATTTAGGTTGGTTATATTTTCTCAAAATTACCTCCCTTTATTAAAATTATTGACTTTACCCAGTGCTTTGAAAATAAATACACACTTAATATATTTGTTTACTCAACTCAGATTTGTTTGAACTCTGTTTTTTGAAAAAGAAATATTTAATTAAAACTCTGACTGGTCAATGAAATCATCAGTGGCAGATATAGCTGGTGCAATATTGTCATACAATGAACCAAAATTGTGAGTTAATAATTGAATAAATGTTATCATAATTACTAAATATTGAAAAGATGATTAATTGAAGAATCACAGGAACTCAAGAATATGAAATCAATGTAAATTGGAGGCTGCAGCATTTCAAAAGAGAATTTATTGAACTTTCCAAACAATATGGTATTTCTTGGGGTACAAAGTGTTTGAAGAGTAGATATTGAAGTTAGAAATATAGTTTTAACAAAAAAATAATAATGTAAGACAAGTTAGCACTTTTTTTTCCAAATCATTGGAAAGCCAATTTTTCAGAGATTCAGAAGAGCTAAAACTAGCATATGTACTGAATCTCATGAGCCAGCAAGTAGCAAAAACATGATGCAAATGCAAACTTTTGCAACATTCACAAAACACAAGTCCGTATGCAGTTAATACCAGTTACATGGTGACTTGTAATGCTTGAATTTCATTATCACCGATTACATAGTCAAACAAACGACACCTACTTAAAAAGGAAAGATAGAATCTTATTTTCCAATTTTTATTCAGATTGCTGTTATACATTGTTTGAAACAAGAGAAAAGCATGAAAATTACCATTTTCACAAATATCTGGTTACTGTGCTGATGACAGCAGCTGCTGCTTAATTTTATGCATATTTTCTTAAATGATATCACAATAAACAAGCCTATTATTTATTTAATGATAGCAATAAAATTAAGATTTTAGTGTTTGTTGAATGTAAACATTTAACAAAAAGTACTTTATTATGCTTGCTCTCTTGCAGCATGTAGATCAATTTAATTTTATTTACTCTTATGAAGTATATTTGACTGAAATTGTAAAGTAATTTTAATCTTTTTTTTTTTTTTTTTTTAGTCCTTGGATAGCCAAGATCATTCCTAGTTCATTTCCTAATAAGGAATATCATCTGATTTTCACACAAGGAAAAGGAGACAAGAAAGAAGGTAAGGATATTTTCTTCTAAAATTTTTATTGTTTAAAATATGAGTTGAGGTCTTTTATGCAGTTAAGAGTACAGTAGGTATAGTTTTGATAACTTTATTTTTTATTTGTTTTATTTTTTACCTAACTTCTTAAACACCACTACAGTAACCAATAATCTATATCTCGGAAATTTAAATGGTCTACAAATATAATACAGGATGCTTCATAAAATTCTCTTGGGGGTCCTGTAAAGTATTATTGTCTAGTTGCTTCAGTGTTACAATATATAGTTGTCTGGAAGTGAAAGTGAATGAAAAGACTTTAGAAGGAACTGGAAATTCAATCCTAGACAGGAAACTAGGGATAAACCTCTACTCTGTTCAAAAAATGGCAAAGGAATAACAAATAAAGAATTATCAATCTAACATATTTTGCTTTTATTAAAGCTTCATCAAAGAATGAAATGTGGAGAAAAAGAAATTCTGGTATATTTATTTTTTGTTTAACTTTCATTGGTTAAGCAGATTTCATGTTCATTTGACTTGTCAAGCAGTATTTGTGTGTATTATAAGTCTAGTTTGTCTATGGGATTCAGATGATAATGTATATTCATAAGTACATGACTAGTAGGCATTATTTATATTTGGTAGTTGTCTGTGTTGAGTTGGAGATGATTTGATGTGTGTTTAAGTTGGTAAAATATTTATTAGGATTCCCTTGAAATATTTTCAAATTAAAGAATTGTGTTCTTTTTAATTAGGTTTGCATTTGTAAAATGAAAGTCATGGTCAGTCTTGTTCCTGTGTATTACAAACAAGTTTAAAGGGCTGTCTCAACGAAGATCTCTTTTATGCTCATAAATGTGGGTTTTGAGATTTCAAGGTGTCTTGCCAATGTAAGTGTTTCTACATTGCAAGCAATTCATTTAATAAATCCCAGCATCTGAGGTGGTGTTGGATCTTTTTCTTTCTAATTATCTGATTGCTGTGGAGGTGGTGGTAAAGATCCTAGTGTTGGTGACAGATAATTAATTTTCAAACTGTGTGTGTGTTTTGGGGTTTTTTTTTTTTTTTGTCCCCCCCCCTGTTCAAAGAAGACTTCAAAAGTAACTAGTAGCGACTTCTCTTGAAAATGGACAAAATTTGGCATTATAGTATTATCAAGTACATGCAGAAAAGTGGTTTAGCCCCTAAGGAGATTCATGCTGACATGGTTGCTTCATTAGTTGATGACATTTGCACTTCATCAACAATGCAAATGTGGGCAGTTGGATTTAGGAGGCGAAGGGATAGTTTTGGAGATGACCCAACTGCCATCACTGAGGAAAACATTGATCCTGTTTGCCACATGGTGATAGATGACAGGTGATTGGCTATTTGATTTATAGTCAATGCTGTTAACATATCTCATGAGAGAGAGTTGAGAATATTCTGCACAGTGAACTTGGCATGATAGTTTTCTGCTTGGTGGGTGCCATGTCTTCTGACACCTGATCAAAAGTGCATCAGGCTAATCACACACTGGCAAAATCTGATATTGTTTGAGGCAGATCCAGTTGGTTTCCTTGAATGTTTCCTAACCCCAGATGAGTGTTGGGTTCATCACTTTGAGCAAGAGACAATTCATGCAGTTAAAAACACCTACTCCAAAGAAGGCCAAGATTGTTTCATCTGCAGGGAAGTTGATGGCCTCAGTTTTTTGGAATACAAAAGGTATTATGATTATTGGTGTCTTCAAAAGGGCCACACCATCTATGCCAACTTGCTGAGGCATTTACGAAAGTCTATCAAGACCAAACTACCAGGAAAACTGAAAGGTGTCTTGTTTCATTAGGACAATGCTCCAGCACAGAAGTCCTTGGTTTCAATGACTCCTGTGCATGACTGGTTTTGAACTGGTTGATCACCCTCCTATATTCTCTTGATTTGACCTCTATCATCTGTTCCCCAACATGAAAAAAAAACACACTTTACTGTGAACCAGTATTGCAGTGATGATGTCATATCTGCTATTGACCTTTTTTAAGAAACAATGAAAGCTTTGCCAATGGGATTCAAGCCCTCCAACACTGGAAGAAGTGTTTTTTTTAATCTGCATTTATTTATCCTTGTATTTTTCTTTCACTGTTAAAATAATTTTCTCTTTACATTTAATATTGGGTTTTTAGTTAAGGGGCAAAGGAATCTATTGAGCAATGAACAAATGATTTTAAAGTTACTGCCTTTCCCTTTTCTCTTGCAGAAATTGTAAATTATGAATTTGACAGAAAAGACCTGATCTGTCTGTTTGTGAGCTGCTTAATTGGTTTATGGTATGGACTGAAAAAAGTGAGCTATGACTTTAGTTCTCAAATTTTTTTTTTTTTTTTCCTGTCTTATTGATTCTATAGTCTTTATGCCACTGTTAATTCTCTTTGGTCATCATTTGGACTAAAAATATTGTTTGCATCTAATAATCTTATTGTCTTGCCATTTTAAATTTAAATAAAGTTTGCTAATTAAATGTAAACATCTCCTCTTTGACCAAATTATTTATACAACCTGCCATTAGTGTATGTTTGCATTTTTTCCTTTCCCTCTCTTAATGTGATATTATTAATGGCATTACCTGCTTGTAACACACACATTAAAGTATGCAGGTTTTTGTAATACAAAAAGAGGGGTATTGGACTTTCTGTAAAGTACAGTTTGACATTTTTTTTACCCCTATATTTGAACCCTTTTAAAAGCTCTGTAAATCAAAAAGCATTCCACTTGAAGTAAAGGCCTTTTCTTTAGGAAAAGCAATGATATACAACTTGACCAAGAAAAAAAAAGAACCTCCTTTTTTTTTTTTTTTTTTTTTTTTTTTTCCTCCTATCTTGTGTGCTGAGTTTTAAATTTCTTTCAGCATTGGATTGCCAACAACCTTTTTGGGCTGGCATTTGCTGTGAATGGTGTAGAGTTGCTATCTTTGAATCGGGTGAGCACAGGTTGTATCCTGTTAAGTGGGCTCTTTCTCTATGACATCTTTTGGGTAAGTGTAACTCTTTGGAGAACATTCAAATTCTCTACTGAATGCTCTCTAGGCATAGCTCAGAAACTAAATTCTGTTTTGTTTAATATAAATTTACAAATGGTTATGAATAAAAACCATTATCAAATGTTTGATTCTCTGGCCAAACAAAAGCCTTACCTAATTGTCTTTCTTTTTTTTTTTTTTTTCTTTTTTTTACTTGAACTAGTTATTAGTCTTTGGTAAATGTAAATGATCCTATTGCATAAAAGTAGGACTATTCTAGAAATTTCAGCATAATCATTTATTCTGATTTGAGTGAAAATAAATGATTATTTGTAGACTTGTAATTGAGCATATCTGGATACCCATCTAGATCATTACTATTATAACAGTCCAGCTGTCAAGTTTTATTTTATTTTTATATATATATATATATATATATGTGTGTGTGTGTATTCATCCTCTGAGAGACTTTGAGGTAAATCATTTATATCATTTGCCTTGATAAAGTCAGAGGACAAAACATTGGCTAAGATAAGTTTTCCTTTTGTCGTTTTACAGATATACTCTATCTGAAATTATATATTTTATTTTTTTTAATAGGTATTTGGGACCAATGTTATGGTTACTGTGGCAAAATCTTTTGAAGCACCAATAAAATGTAAGTTAACTTTGCCTGCAATGTACAAAAAGCCTGCTTTATCTTTTGCTTATGATTCCTGCTATATCGCTATCTTCTGTAGCTGCAGCTATTTTTCTTTCTTCTTCCATTTGGCTGTATAATCTGGTTTCCTAACAATGTAGGTGCAAGTTTGGTTCTGTGGCAGAAAACTCAATGCTTAGTCTACTTTTCACTTTTGCAGTGATGTTGTCATATCTGCTGTTGTCCTTTTTTTAACAAACAGGATGAAAGCTTTGCCAATGGGATTCAAGCCCTCCAACACTGGTGGAAGAAGTGTGTGGACCACAAGTGGGCTGGGGAAGACTGTTGGAAAATAGTTTCTTGGTCAGCCTATGAACTTTTCAGCTGAGCCTCATATAATATATACCCTTTAAATTTAGTCATATTATTTGAGACCACAGTATGACCTGAATAAGATGATTTTTAACACTTGGTTCTTTTCATTTCCACTCTTCTATTGATGTAAGTGATCTGCTAGTAGAATGTTGGGATTGGGTTGTAAGATGTTCAAAGAGGAAGCATATTGAGTAGTTGAGCTTGATTAATTTCTCAGTTTATCAATGCAGTCAGAACATGCATTTGGAGTCTGTTGAGCAAAACTAAAATGTTTTAAGGATATGTTTCGAAAATTTTCTTTTCTTTCAGAAAATGAAACCTGCAATAGTATTTTCACTACTGCCCGAAATAATAACAAAATACCATTCCAAATCGATTATGCAAGAAAGGAATATAACTTTCTTTTATTATCAACTAACTAAATAAGGGTGCTTGCAAAAATTCATCCCTTTTGTTGAGAATCGGATAACCTATTCTCTGGCTAAAAAAATATCAAAAAAATAAAACTTTAAAAATTATAATGCACGAAACAAAATAGTAAAAAGATTAAGCCTACCTGCTACACAGCAGGTAGGCTTAATCTGATAACAAAAAAGAGCCTTTGCTCTATACACTTTCTGTTCTGGCAAAATTCAAAAGTTCTTTTCTTTCTATATTTTTCTTTTCGAGTCGAAGCTCCCTTTTCTTTGGCGACCAAGTTTCCTTTTTTCTTTTTTTAATCTTATCTTTCTCCTGTTCAGATGGAAAGTTCGTCTTTCCTTGAATATTTGTCAGAGGAATGTGAAAGCTTCCTTAAAACATGCAGTAGTACAACTTCTTGTAACAGAATGTCTTTTGCTTTGTCGTTGTCATGTCATTTTCTTCACTAAATATCTTTAGCCCCAAATAAAACTTAGGGACTTCTCAGTTCTTCCCTTTTTTTTTTTTTTTTTTTTTTTCTTTGACAGTAAACTTTGTTATATCTGGTTCTTCTTTCTGGGGTTTGTTAGAGAGGTCTTTTCTTTCTCTGAAGAACTTAAAGGGAAATTTGCCTTCAGCTATTTTCCTTCCCTTGCATGTCATTTCAGCAGTGGAGTGAAAAACCAACCTACTCTTCCTAGGAGGTTCCATCTAACTACAACTGTCCAGTAGCAGTCCTCCCTTCCCCTTCCAAGAGGATGATTCACATTTGGACTGTCCAATCACAGCCCATAAAAAAAAATATATATCAGCAGGTTCTTAGGGCCAGTAACACAGTCTTTTTTTTTTTTTTTTTTTTTTTTCTCCTTTCACCTCAAAATTTTCAAATATGCATTAATTTTTCTTATTGAAAGTTTAAGAATGTAAAAACATGACACATCATGACTACTTTTTCTAGTTGTTCAAAACTAATCATTTTAATAATTCTTACCAGTGCCCCCCCTTTTTTTTTTTTTTTTTTTTTTTTTCCTTCTGCCCTTCCTCTCCACAAAGATTCTCTCCTCTTAGCAGCTTTTTCTGTGTATATCATTTATTGGATTATCAGATAGTTCTGAAAGGTTCTTTACCTGACCAAGGAGCCCGCCCACTCCCCTGTGTGTCTCCACTTAATCTTTGAGATATTAACTACCTTATAGGACCTAACTGAATATTGCCCTATTTCATTAGTCAAATTTGTTAGTTAATTATTCATCTTGGATTGCTCATGGCTCACTAAGATTCTCATCTGGGATTTCTTAAAAGAACAATCATGTTTTGCTAAAAAAAAATTAGTTATTCTACTAAGGGACTACTTTCATAGAACCAATACATCTTAGACTTTGGAATGGATACCATATTAACATGTAAGTTTGTATTATGCCTTTATTTATTAAGCCTTACTAGCTTAAAAGCCACCTAATTGAGTGGCATTTAAGTTAGCTCCTGCAGAGGGATCTTGATTGTTCAGGAGTTTGAGAGTCCCTAAGTCTCTGCATATTCTTAACCTTGGAAGCTCTCCTGGCTGCTGTTTGATCTTGGTTTTCACTTTCTTTTCATTGCATTTTTGGTTCTTTTGATTGCAATCTGGTCCTCTGTTGTGGGGCATACTGCTGCTGTATGTGATAGGCAACAATAAATCAAAAATTGATTACTGCATTTAAGTATTGCATTACCTTTTATCTTTTAAAAGTTCAACAATAATTCTACTGCTGCCGCTTAATTTAAAGAAAATCTGATGGTCCTTACTTTCTGTACAAATAATTATTTTTATTTCATGGGTGATTTCACAATTTCGATTACTTCCAAATTATAAAAATTATCATACAATAAAAAAAAAAAAAATAAAAAAAATACCAAAAACAATCACAGTAATGAAAACTTGGGAATCCAAAATTTCTGTGACATGAGCTATTGAAAGTTAGTTGTCCCTTTTAATTGAAAAAGTGTGATACGCTGACATTCGTATTTGTTATATAGAAGATGTAAAGACTGGAAAAATACTTCGATGACATCACAAGTATTTGGGCAATTCTTTGTACTCTGAAATTTGTAATAGTTCATGCCTTTTTGAGCATGTAAGTTATGCACAAATGGCTGGTCAACTGATATTTTGTCTTATAACCTCCAACACTGCCAAAATTGCATCTGCAGCCCTGCTTTTTTGAATGGTCTTCTTGATTGTTCTCATTTGCAGACGTTGAGTGCACTGTCTTTCTGCTTCTTCTCCAGTGGTGTTCCCACAAGATTTACTTGAAAAAGGACTGGCTGCTGACAATTTTGCCATGCTTGGACTCGGAGATGTTGTTATTCCTGGAATATTTATTGCATTGCTGCTAAGATTTGATGTCAGGTAAGTCTTTTCCACATTCATCTTTCACTGCATTTTATTTTCAGATGAACAATATCATGTCTGAATTTGTTGACACTTCCATCCCACAAGTTTTGAATTTTTAATTATTTCCTTAGAACTCGTAAAAGTGACATTGGACTTTTTAATGTAACTACATTGAATATGCCTGAAAGTTTGAGAAATCAAAATTTTCATAAAACATTAAACCATTTCATCAACAAAGATACTTGTAGAATCAACTCAAGTAAAACAAAATTATATTAATTTATAGATGACTTTGTTTCTTTTATTGTAAAATTATAACTAGTGAAATTAGTTGATTGATTTCAAGAAAAAATTTTTTAAAAATGTCTGTTTAATTTGGAAATGGAAATTCCTTAAAAGGCAAATTCATGTGATATATCATTATCAAGTGTCAAATTTAATATCTGATCACTATGGTATCAAGTATATACTTTGTCTTCTTTAAACTGAAGCATTTATATAGAGAAATAAAAATTGTCTGATTTTAGTTCATGATATTTTTGTTTTATTCAGGTAAGAATTATTTTAAGTATTCTTAATGTACTGAAAGCAAAAAAAAAAAAGTCTTGGAACTCCTTCTCAAAACATTCCTAAGAATTTTTCTTCCTCACATTAGAATTACTCCTAATTCCAAATTGTGAAGTGGTTTTTTTTTTTTTTTTTTTTTTTTTCCTCCTCTCCCCCCCCACCACTTTAATTTTATCCTTTCAGGATACTGGTTATGACTGTATCCTTTAGATGAGTGTGTGTAAACACTTGTTCTGGGGAAAGGAAGCGATGTTTTTCTGTAGCCTTATCTAATTTTGAATTCAGTTGCCCTAAAGAGTACAATATACTATGGAGATATTCATGGCCTTAACCCCCCCACACACACACACAAAAAGGAAAAGTGGGAAGTGAATGCAACAGCCTCACTTGAAACTTACTGGTTCCATTTTCTACATTACTAACTATTGTTACCCACATATCTGCTCTTTTACTCTGTATTGTATGTAATAATGATTATTACAAAAATAAAGTTTGCTGACACTTAAACTCATTATGTGAAAAGTGTCAAATTTATGTATTTGATCACTATGGTATCAAGTATCTACTTTTCATTATAACCCACTAAATGTAAATATGTCCAAAGACTAGCAAAACTATTTAATTTCCATATAACCTTATTCTCACTATTGAAGTGAGAATAAGGTTATATGGAAATTAACCTCCTTCACCTGATGTTGAAGGGATCTGTTGACCAGAATGAAAATTTTTTATATATATATATATATATAATATATTATATATAATTCACTTTAAATTAAAATGAATTTTTTTTCTCTCTCCTTTTCTGTTCTTTTGATCAGTGCGTATTTTAATGAAATGAACAATTGCAAATGAAACTTTAACCTCCATGAATATTTATAATTGTGAACTCAGTATTTGTTGCCCACTTTTTTAAAGATATACAAGATGAAGTAAAACTCCCACACCATAAGGGTAATTTATAAAAAAAAAAAAAAAATAATTACACATGAAACTGTTATTTACTAGTTATACATGCTGTTCAAAATGTCCTCCTCCATTTTGAAAACCTATTTCAATTCTATGCCTGCATTCATATTTATTTCTTTAAGTTCCTCAATATTTCTTGGGTGTGTATGATAAACAACTGATTTCAAATTGTCCCACAGAAAAGAAAAAATCCAAAAGTGTGAAGTCTGATGACTTCTGTGGCCACTCAACAGAACCTCTTCAATCCCCCTATGGTGCATTAATTTTTTGCTTTACTCTGGACTTTACTCAATTAGCAATATAAATGAAAAGCTACAATTGTCAAAACTCTTTGACATTTACTTTGCGTAACTCTGCTAATAAATAAAATATTCAATGTTGCTCTTGAACTAATTCTGTCTAAAAGAGAAATATCTTATTTGATTAAATAAAATAACTGAGAGAAATAAGCCAGTAAATTTATGAGTGGTTAAGTTTATTTACCTCCCTTCCCACTATAGAGCATGACATAAGATATATAAATACATCCACAATAGTAATTATTATAGTGTTGATTTTATTTGAGCTTACCATTTTCCTAGATCTAATTTCTTTCATCAGAACATCGAAAGTGACATTTTTGTCACACTGTCCTTTCTATGAAGATCATTTATTTGTTTATCTTCAAATAGATTTCTGAGTAAGAAAATGTTGGAATGATTTTAAATAGGGACCAGGCCCAATGTGAAAATAATTTTATTTAATTTTTTTTTTTTTTCCCCTTTTCTTTTTCAGTATGAAAAAAGGCTCTAAAACTTATTTCTATTCAAGTTTCTTGGCCTATTTCCTTGGATTGGTTGCCACAATCTTTGTTATGCATGTTTTTAAGCATGCTCAGGTAAGGATTTACTAAATTTTAACAATCTGCTCCCTAAATTGTTTTGATAAGTTCATAATTATCAAAAATCCATTTTAGATAAGTGTTGATAATTCATCAGAGGTGATGAATTGATAACATGATTAATAAAGTCTGTCAATTGCTCTTTATTGCTGTATTAGTGAAGTCTTATTTTCAACTATAATTCTTTTTATGCCTATCTTCATAACATGAAAGCTGAACATGCTGACTTGGAGTACATATTACTGTTTGTATTTTGTTTCCCTAAAATATTTTAAGTTTTCATCATAGTAAAAATTTAAAAGACGGGACGGGGCGTTACAATATCAGTGAATGTGTTTTAAGTCTGTCTATAAAAACTGTAACAGATAGACCCTGCTCCTGAGATAACTAATGTTATTCTTATTTATCTGTCAAATAACTGTACATATTTATTTTCAGCCTGCATTACTGTACCTGGTTCCAGCTTGTATAGGGGTCCCTGTAAGTGTAGCCCTTCTGCGTGGAGAAGTCAAAGAGCTGTTTAGGTAAGTCATGAGTGATTCTGGTGCTTGAGCAATGCATTTTGTTTTTGTTAAGGCTATATATGTGTAATATTGATCTATGGTTGTTGTTATCCAACCCATTAAAATTTTTTTTTTTTTTTTTTTTTTTCCAGCTACGAAGACCACAGTGAAAAGACACCAGATCCAGCTGTATCAGCCATCAGTGGCAGTGCTACAGGAGACAAGAAGGCTCAGTAGGGCTGGGCCCTCTCTCCACATCACCTGTCCCTGTCCACTGCAGCAGCAAGAGCCAGCTGGTGGTCTCATTTCTAGTTTCTCATCCATGGAGCTCCAGCCACATGACATTCATCCAAAGCACGTGGTATGCCTGCCACATAATTCCTTGTCAGACCATTCTAAGATTTTATGGATTTCAATGTTTATTTATGCTGGCCTCCTCCCACCCACCCTCCATCATAATGCTGCTGCTGCTGCCACCATGGCTTTCATTGAACATTGCTTCTACAAATAAAGAATTGATTTAAAAAATATTTGAACCTGAAGCTAATTATTCTTTAAAATAGGAAAGTGGTAGAATTTTATCCCCAGCTTCCCTTACATTCCTATATGTTCAAACAGGTGAGATTCTAATTAAAATGCTTAGGAGGTTGTTCTGTTATTTCATCGCATCCAATAATTGTCATCTTTCTTTAAATTTTTTTTTTTTTTTATTTTGGTGAAGGAGTTGAATTCCATGATCATCCTGTCTTAATCTTAGATGGAAGTGGGGGGGGGAGCATTTTCTTAATTTGTATGTAAATCAATATTCTTTGGAGTTTTCTCTCTCCATGTCCAAGGGCATAAAAAAAAAAAAACACACAAACTGTAAAAGCCAAATTAACATACACATTTCTTCTTCATGCTTAAATGTATGAAAGGTCTTTCCACATGGATGATAATGCTTGAATCCCTTCACTCATTTATCAATTTTAAGCATAAGCTGACCCAGGCTTGCCAAAGCTTAAGATTTTTCTTTTTCAAAATTGAAACTTATCACTACAAAAATTTTTAAAAATTGTTTGTCTGTAAGAGAAGGGATGTAAAACATGCTTTTTTTTTAAAAAAAAAAAAAAAAAAAGCAAAGAATTATTTTCAGATTCTTTAATTTCACATTTTTTTTGCCCCTGCAGACAGCACATTCTCCAAAAGTAATAAAGGTGTTGTACATGAAAGGGCATTAAAGTAAAACCCACTTGGGCCTGCTTTCTCTCTCTCTCTCACACACACAAAATAAATAAAAATAGCAAAAAAAAAAAAATCTTGCATTTTTCTCAGAGAAAATGCCTGCGTAGAGTTTGTAGAAAGAAAAAGTGGTCAATGTTTTTAAATTTCTTAAATTCATTCTAGTTAACATTTCACTTAAGAAATATTTTTTATTTTATTTTGCTTGACTATACAACAAAATAAGTTGAAAGCAGATGGTGGAGTTTCTTTTGTCATTTGAGAATGTTGCCCATCATTGCTACATTGGAGTTAATGGTTCAATTGTCTCATTGCAAGATTTGATGAGGATATTGGCAACTATTTAAATTATAAAAAATATAAACACTTTGATTTCTTGGATTGCAGGGTTTGAGAAGATTAGGTTTAACAGGAGTATTTTTTTTTTTTTCTCCTTGTATTGGCATCAAAATGATAGTCACGATAAATCTACATGAAAGTGGCAATGAATTGAGTAAAAATGAGCCAATTACCAATATATATCAGTCTCAAACTCTGAACCTATTTATTTTAACATGTATTTACGTTTCATGTTTTTTTTATTTATTTTTTTTTATTTTAGATGTAAGGGAGTAAAATGTGACTTTGCTGTTACAAAAAAAAAAAAACAATTGTGGGGGAGGGGGTAAATTACTACCATGGAGGGAGGGGGCAGTTTACCAACTCCCATCATCAGCATATGGGACACTTTTTTTTTTCTTCTTAACCACCATTAGGATTATTACTGCAGTCACCCTTACTTTGAGTGCCAAGTTAACATGGTTAAAAATTTCTAGTTGAAGACAGGATTAAGAATGAGACGCGGGCTTGGGGGTATTGAGCAACAACAGAAGAAAGGAAGTCAAAGACAAAGGTGGTCTAAGAGTTACTGAACCATGTTAAAACCCAACCATTTCAGTCAAATGATGTTGACATCAACTTCTGGAGAAGCTGGTGACAAAACAAAAGAGCAGGGCTTGCAAGTATTTATAAAAAAAAAAATTAAAATGATTGAAAAAGTACAATGGTGGTTGGCAACAATGTCTTTATCTTGATCACATGATTGTTGCATCAACCAATGGCACTGCCCACCGGCACAGCCATTTCAATGAAAATTGGAGGGCGGGAAGCTGACTTGAGTCCTGTCAGTTGAGAGAAAGCAAATGCTTTATAACTACATCTTCCTCCTTCCTCAAAAGCAACCTTCTTTCCAGCTGTCATCTGCACTTACTGCCTGAGCAGGGGCTGGAGCAGATGGACGCTCCAACGGTTTGAAAGGGATTCCAGATCTAGAAAGAAAAGTTCAAAAATGTAATGTTAAATTTTATAGACACAGAAAAATATATGTAGTATATCTTTTCAAAGTGAATTATTAACTTTTGATGTACAGTGATCACTAAATATGACAAATCTGAGAAGTTCTCTGCCCAACCCACTTAAAATCTGTCCAAACATCAGAATTTGGGAGCATCTCTTTGTACACTAGTCTAATCAACTAGAAGCAAATTTCCAAGCAAAATTTTTTAAATACTTCAGCCCAATAACAGATCATTTAACATTTCATGAAATTCCATGCTCAAAAGCAGAATGATGACATCTTGTAAACAATAGTAAGTTCTTTTTATTTACAAATTCGTATACTAAAGTATATATTTTATTGGTCAATTTTCTTAGGGGCTTTAAGAGAAAAGGCTTGCCAATCACAAAGCAGTTGATTGCTTCAATATTCCTACATATATACCATTTCGAAATTTCAACAATAAAATCAAGACTAAAAACCTTTTCTGAAAATATTTTTTATATTTGAAAAATGCTAATTTCTTTGATAAAAATTGAGGATGAATTTAAGTTTTGTAAACCTTTTAATGAACAGATGTGCTGTTTTCATCTTCACAATCAAGCAAGTACTATTTATTATATTTTTACCTGTGCTGCTTAAAGTATATGTGAGGAATGGCTTTCAGAGGCCACCATTATTAGATTCCATTGGATAATTATTTTTACTGTTAGACATGAATGTAGAATTGAATGAAAAAAAAAAAAAAAAAAATGTATTTAAGACAATTTTAAACTTAACATAATCCCTTCCCCACATTTCAACAATTTATAAAGTCACTGAGTTATTGAAATTTTAACGTGTTTGCATTTGATATGCAAAAGAAGAAAACTAACCTTTTGGGAGTGGGTAAGCTTGTTCTTGGAGATACTGTTCCTGGCCTGGGTATTGACCTGCGAGGGGCAGTGGCTGGGTGTGGAAGGTTGCTTCTAATTGGAGAAGAACCTCTTCTCATATTCAGTGGCTGTTTCAGGTGGCTCACTGATGGTGAATTTGGACGGCCTGGTTGCTGCAGCCGAGATGGGGGTCGAGAAGCCGACTCAGGAGTTCCTCCAGCTATAAATAACATGTCATCACTACAAGTATCAAGGCTTGAATCACTTGAGTGGAGTGCAGGTGAAGGGGTCACTAATTTAGAAACATTTGGTAGACTTCGACGTAAATCATCTACAGAAGAAAAGGAAAGCAATCAACATTATTCAACCAAAAGTCAATTGAGATTATAATTAGTTTATCAGAAATTAATGTAATTGTTATGTCTATCAGGGGAGGAAGAAAAAATTGCTTAATGTTAGTTTTCATGAAATTTCTCATAAGTGGGGGGGGGGGGATAAAAATGGTGAAGTTCCTTAATTGGAAGATCAATTTTGACTTAATATATGAATAATAGTTTATTAAATTTACTTAATTTTAAAATAATAGCTTGAAAATTACTATAGAAAAGAGCATGTCCTTCCTAAGAGGAAAAAAAAAATGGACCTATTTTAGAAGTGAAACTTGAGTCACTTAAAATCTTGATATACATTGAATAGGAGTCATCTCAGCCATGTCATGCATTTTTGAATTGGTAAAAAGAAAACGTTAAATTGCTTTTCTTTAATGATACACTATTTTGTTTTCATTTCCAGTAGAATGTCAGTTGTTTTGTTTTATATCATCAAATACAAAACATATCAAGGTAATTACTGAAAAGTATAAAGTTTTTTGAAAGAAATAATAATAATAATAATAAATTCCCAATAGAGTCATCTTACCATGTCCCTGGCTATTGACACAGTTTATTTGTCCTTGACTGCCAAACGGACTGTCAGGTGGACTATTTGGTTCAGAACTGTTGGAGGTCACACTGTGGCTGTTCCGTCGAGAGCATGAAAGACCTTCTGTTAAAAAAATAAAACATTACAATTAAAATTCTACTTTAAAATCAATTACCTAATTTATAGAGGCTATCTCTTATAATTATTTTAAATTTATTAGTTTTAAAAAGCATATTTTAGAGATTATCAAAAAATGTTAAGATAACACTTTGGCTCAAAATCTTTTTTAGCTTCAGTAGAAAAAAAATAGTATTATAGCTTACTGTTAAATTTAATGGCTTCTATAAATCACCTGCTCATTACATTTTATTATGAATAAACATTGACCACAGTTTAAACTGAATTTCACTTAATGTATTTATTCATTCTTTCATTTGATCACACTCTGTAATAACTTTGGCATTACTTTTTTCTAAAAAAAATTATATCTAATTTGTTATCTTCAGTATAAAAAGAACTTATATTTAACATCTAATAATAAATCTAACAATAGTAATAATAAATTAACAAGAGTAAATTTCTTTAGATTTATTTTTAAATGAATATCAAATGCCATTTTATAGAAGATATTTTACAAATTAGCAGGAAAAGATTCCATTTCTATTGAGCTACTAAAGTTAAGTGATGTTTAACGTAGCTATACTTGAATGATTTATTCACTTGCTTATGATCTACAGTTGATTAATAAAAAAAAAAATTAAACTCCAGAAAAAAAAAAGTAAAAGCAGTGGTTTCCACAGCTATAAATAAATAAAACAGGTGAGAATTTTCAGTTAAAAACCATTGAGGCCCCTTAAAATCTGATAAAATGGTTAAATTTAAGTAATTTGATGAAGTGGGGGTGTTAATATCCTAGTTAGTTACCAAGATCAATCAATTTGCTGATCAGGAAATCAATAAGTACTTAAGGAACAAAATCAAAAAATTTCACTAATCATTATCATTACAGAACTGCATTTAGAATGTAATATGAACAAAAAATATTTGCCTTAAATTTTGACATAACTTTTTTGATTATTTCTATTTTTCTTTAAAAAAATAGTTCACTCAGCTATTTATAACTTTTTCCTTGGTTTATCTGTATGAAAACAAAAAAAATATTTTGTAAATACTGGTTCATCCATAAATCTTTTTTACACTAGACAAAAATAGTGTATTCTTGCATCCTTATTAAATGAATTAAAAGGATATAAATGAACCTTTTGGTAAAAGTGTATATACATATATATATATATATATATATATATATATATATATATATATATGAATACAATTTCTGTACCACTTAGCAATCAATACTAATTCATCCATTGTTCATTCAACAATTACAAATTAATGTCAAAAATGATTAACAGATGAAAAAAGGAAAAATAGTGTTATACGCAAAATGATCTAAGGAGGAAAAAAAGAATTTGTCCATAAAACCTTATAATTATCTAAATGTTCAATTTTGGTCAAAATGTGCAGGGATGTCAAATATATGAGAGAGCTTTATTTTCACAGCTCCAAAATATCTAATATTGATCCCAGCAATTGCTGTACAATTTTATCAATGAGAGAACCTAGAAATATATTAATGGTACTCAAGTTTTCATACTGTTTTGCATTGATAAAGATTTATTTTTATCTATATATAAAATGATATTTGTATGTAGGTTCAATCATTATAAATTAAATGGTAAATGCTTTGGATACAAAATTTACAACAATTATATCAACTTCTAAAATGAAGATTACTTTCCAATAATATATGGTGATTCATAGCTTAGTTGTGACAAGGCCAAAAATGTGGTGCACCCAGTGAAGATCAAACTCAATAGTTAGTAATAATTGATCTAGCGATAAAAGCTTGCTAACCATTATACCACATCTCTTTCTAGTAATATATGTATGTATATAAAATTAATAAATGGTAGGATTAGCACATTAATGCATCACTGTATTTGGTTAGCAATAGAAATTTAAGGTTCAGATGGAAAAATAATAAGTAGTTAAAACAAAATTTCAAGTTACACTTCAAATATTTATAAAGAGAAAATTAAAAAAAAATTTTTTGAACTGGTAGAGAATTCATGGTTTTATAGATTTTTGCACTTTATCTGAATATTGAAAAAATTGAAAGTATTAAATCTATTATATGTAGACAAACACTAAACATTGAATGTGATACTGAAGCTAAAAGTATTATAAAAAGAAAAAGGAGATTGATTTCAAGTGTCTTTATTAAATCAATGTCAAATATGTAACTCAAATTAGCTAATCAGGTGTAATCCACCTCCACCAAGTAAAGGAATTTTTACATTTTGATACTAAGTATTAAATGATAAGAATATCAGACTAGATGACAAGCTGATCTTAGTTCAGTTAGGATTTTGGGACATTTGTAAAGAATGTAACAGAGCCATTAGGTCTTCTGATGTCTCTTCAATGCAGAAATACTTTTCATACAACTTTATAATTAACACTTGTACATAATAAATAACAACTGAAGAAATTTTAGCAGAGATAATTTGAATGAAAATGTTGCAAGAACTCTACACGAGTATGAAAAAATGGCTTATAAAATTTTAATAATTATAAAATTTTAATAATTATGAAATTAAAAATGAAATTATTGCATGCCATGTTAGTTGGTTAATGAAGTTACCCAAAATTTTAAAGTCCCATTGGCCATTCTCCAAGAGTATTAATAGCCAATTATCAAAATGTCAAGACAAATGATTGAAAGTGAGTATTAAAGTTTTTACTTTTACAATGCCATTAAGAATTCTTCAACAGAAACAATGTTTTATTGTCTGACTATGATGGGCAAGATGTGAATAAGACCTAAATGGATGAAAAAGTCCAACACCTACATCCACTCTCAAAAACAGACTGAATAAGGAGTGAATGAGACAGGCTTACAAAATGGTAACTGACCGTCATAACGTCCAGGACTAGATCGGTTTGAACCGACAGGAGACACTGTGGTGCTGGGTTCAGAGTCACTGACAGCAGCTGAACTTGGCTGTGGAATTTGCCTTGGCCGGTATGCTGACAAAAATAGACGAAATTAATGCAAGCACACACACACTCATACACACACACACCAACACTAAATGAACAAGAAGCTAAATGAGCAGAGGCAAGGGCACTCAAGCACTGAGGTGGAAAGTGAGGGAAACAGAGAAAGAAAGAGAGGGAACTCTCTAGAGCAACAACAGAAAGGTTGATGCAGAAACAGGAACAAAATTACCACACACTCAAGCCAATATTAAACATCTATAAGTTTTTATTTTATTTATTACCCTCGGTATTTTAATGAGCATATTCTCAAAACTATTATTAAGTTATATTATTTTGTATAGTTAGGTAATTTATACAAACATCCTATTTGTGAGATAACCATTATAAAATGTTTAACAAATCAGTTTCAAAAGTTATAGCTAATGAGTGATCCTCAATTGTAACCAGATCAGACAAAGCTTATTAAATATTTGCACACTTGATTTGTGCCTGTATTGGAAATATTCAGATTGGTATGCTCATTTGAATGATTTTTTTTCTTAATTATTATTTTCTTAATTATTTCTTAATTTATTATCTTAAAAGTTATGTTTGATTTTTTTGTCATCAAGTTAACCATTGATATTGATGTGCATTTAAAAATTCTATTCAGATTTATTTGGTGAAAAAAATCAAGATTAATGCACTTTTAGAAATTCAGAATTACTTCACAAGAATGGAACTGCCATAAGTAATAAGAATGAGCTGTCCATTTCTCCAAGATAGTTAGATTTAGATATTTGTATGCGGGTGTGTCATTTACTTCCCATTATCACAAGCAAAAATATTTTTGTTGTCAGTTACTATCTTCCTCTCAAACCAGCCTTATGAGATCAACTACAGTTAGTTTTAAAATTAGAATATGTAAGAGCTTCTAGTTTGAATGCTCATAGCAGCACCAACTGACTTTTGGATGTTAAAAAAAAAAAAGGTAAGGTATAAATCAATTTCTAATCTTGCCATTACTTCTTTAGAACACAAGTAGAATTTATACAAAAATACAGAATTTATTTCATTGCTCATCTGGCTTTAGACCAAAGAATGAGCAACAAATTTCTAATAAATACAGAGAAAGGATCAACTTCTTATGTTGGATGCCAACATACTTATTGAAATGATGGAATGATTGTTCTTTGCAGCTTAACTCTTGTGAGTTATTTAAAGTCAAAGCACGTTATATTGTAAGAATATTTTTTTTTTGAGTGAATATTACATTAAGAATTTTTCTTAGATCAAAAATCTTTTATAGATACAAGTCCTATATTTAACTCGTATGTCTAAAATGTGGATGAATTCATTCTAGGGTATTGAAATGAAAAGAAAAATGTCTGTGAGGATAACAGTGTGAAAGAAAAACTTATACATGTTAATTATACCTAATTTCAAAAATATGGAACAATATCGGTTGAGAACCTACAACAGAAGAGACTGAAGAGCTGTAGGAGCAGACAAGCTAATGAAGGGAAAATATATTAGAAGCAAATAAAGCCGAGGACAATAAATGTGTAAGTGAAAAATACAAGAAAAGGAGCAAGGAAGGTTAGGGTTAAATGAAGGGAAAACTGAAAACCTAACAAACAAGCTGAGAAGATAATGCAACGTTTGTTAAGGGAAAAAACAAGAAGCCAAGAGAAAATACAAATACAATGGAAACCAGGGAGAGTGAAGCTAATATTTGATGCTCTGACAAAACATAATTCAACAAAGGAGAGAAAGCATACACAATCGACATCCAATTAAACAATATGTTTTTGATATTTGGCAGGTGTACATGACATCATTTTTATATTATTATTATTCCCACAAGTATCAAAATTCTTTTTAAATATTTAATCAAATTTATCCTTCCAGGATTTTTATCAATAAATTTCTTTTCATGAACCAAAAAGCTTAATCTTCAATTTTAAATAATTTCAAATAACATGGTGATGATCTTTGCATGTCAAAAGACACAAATCAATTAAATGGTAGCTAACAAATTTTAGAATTAAAATTTACATTTTGAATTATAAATTGTTCCATGCCCATCAAATTCATTTAAATATCTCCAGTTTAATAGAGGCCAGGTATGCTAACTTGAACTAATTTAGATATACTTAGCTAATAGAAATTTCATAATTGAGAGAGGAAAGGTAGTTATATTAGGGAGTAAAATATTAAAAAAGAGCAATTTGGGTGAATATCAACAATTTGGGGCAGTCAAGCAGTAGAGGACTGAACAATGCAGAAGAGGAAGAGGATGTAAAAAAAAAAAAAAAAATCATCAAGACAAAAGGAAGTTGAAAAGATGCACAATGATACAAACTGTGCTAAAGCACAAGACATAAAAAGAAAATCATTCATAAAATAATATAACTTATACTTGTTAATGCCAGAGAAGATAGCACTCATCTTTAAATTCATTTGCAATTTGTTTTTTGTCTTAAGTAGATCGTATTTATTGGTTTTTTGTTTTTTTTTGCAATATTTGATAAATATTTTCAGAGTTGGATCCCCAAATCCTTAAATTCTACATTGTAGATAGTACAGAAATATTTGATTTTTTTTTACATGATACTAATGCACCATAGTTTTATTTTTCTATCAAATACAAATAAAGTGAGGCAGATAATGTTTTGGGTCACTTTCACATCAATAGTATGGCTCCACATAACATTTTAAAAGAAGCAAAGACAATGATGAGCATGCTCAATATTTTTTTTTTTATCAAAATCATATTTCTTCTGAATGTTCATAGTCTTCAAAGAATCTATACTGAGCATACAATTTTTTCATCTATTATGTATATGTAAACAAGAAAGGTAGAATGCATTTTAATTTCCATCTCCTGACATCCATCATAATAGTGTTACCAAAGTAAAAAGATGAGTGCTAATTCAAAGGAATTAATGTATAATAATGCCTAAACTTATAAAATGGTAAAATTATAAAAGTTATTTTACTCATCAAAGTGCATTGAAGCAACTAGGCTTGTTTGAAGTCTCTTTGAAAATTTACAGCTTAATTTGAAACCCTAATGGAATAATAAAGTAAACTTCAAATGAATCACAAAAGAGCAATCAATTGTTAAACATTATGAACATCAAATAACAACTACCAAAGGACAAGATTTTCAAGGCTATAGAGTTATTCCCCTTAGGTTAATTCGCGACTCTACCGTGAAGATTTACATGAAATTAAGATTCATTGGTAATGTGATATTGTATTTTTCATGGAAAATTTTTACTGGGCTCATTTTTAGATGCTAATTTAATATTTCAATAGTATGGATCTTGAGACCAACAAAAGAAGGATGTGATTGAAAGTTGTGAAAAATATACAAACCATAAAAAAATATTTTTTTAAATTTTAACCTAAAAACCAAAAAGTAGTTTTTCAACAAGTATATACTGTTCTGTACAATCAAATATAATTTCAAAAACGTAATTTAGTAAAAGCTTAACTCATTTAAATTTGTTTTAGTTAAAAAAAAAAAAAAAAAAAAAGATTAAATTAATTTCTATGTTTGTAAAAAGTCACTTTTAAGTCTATTACTTTTGAAATTATTTCTCTAGGTGGCTTTTCAATAATACAACTTGAATGGGTTAGAGTGTTAAAGAACTAAGTCATGTAGATAAACTAGTATCTATAGTCTATAGCCTTACAAAATGTTAACTTGAATTTTTCAGTATTAAGTTTTAAGTGTAGAATTTATTTGCATTTTACAACAGCCAAAAGTCACAGAACTTCATTATGTTCTAGATAGGCAATAAAACTAAAAATGAAAATAACTAAAAATCTCAAGATCATTAAGACTAAATAATGAAGTAATAATTAAAATGCTTGGAAAATGATGTGAGGACTCAAAAAGACTTGTTTTTGTGGGGTTTTTTTTTTTTTTACTCTCATCATCAATAGTAATTACTTTGCATATTTTAAATTAAAGTTTTTATTATTATGAGTTATAATCCATAAATTGAGTCATCAACATTCACTATTTAACTGTCTCTTAACAGGAAAAAACAAAAAGAAACAAAACTTATCAACGACGTAAAAAAAAAAAAAAAAAAAAAAAAATAGCATTAAACTTTGGAAAATTAGTGGTTCGTATCAAATTAAAAGAAAAAAAATTATTTTATTTACTCAATAGATTTTGATTTTGTTGTAACAGATGGGTTTGAGCAAACTGGGACTACCAAAATGTATTGGCATTCATGTGCCATTCATGCTGGGATGACCAGTAGCAAAGTTTCTAAACAATAATGATTCTCAAGTCACAAATAGGAGACCAGGCAAGGAGTATCACTACATACCAATACCCAAAAAATGCAAATAAGATAAGCTTTGATAGGTGAACTGGCTACAAAAAGCATTGCTTTGCAATGCATGAAGTTCAAAGCTGTCCATCACATTTTCTCACCCTAATGCTGCATCTTGCATAGGCTGTCACAGAAGACTATGGAATATTGGTTTGTATGTCACTCCATGGCAAATTGCACCCCAACCTTAAACAAATAAATACCATCAACATTTTCTTTTGCCAATTACCCATCAGCTTACTTCAGCCTCAACTAACCTTTAACTGTTTGTGAGGTGGCTGAAAGTTCTACACAAGAATTGGGCTGTAAAGAATGCTCTCCGGATGCTAAGAAAAATATCTACTATCTTGACTATGAAAAAGATATAATAAAAGTGTTTTTTTATAAAATATCTATTTTTTTTTTTTTATGAGTACTTAATGACTGATCAAGACCTTTTTTTTTTTTTTCTAAATAGATTTACAGTTTGTATAAAATGTCCAAAGTTTTTAATAGCCACCACCTTGGCACTTTCCTCTGCAAGGATGATCTGGAACATTGTAAGACTAGATAGTTCAACACTTTACAGTATTTAAGGTGTCTCTCTAGTCAATTGCTATTTGTTGCTTCTAAACAAAATACAAAAATAACCAAATCAAATATATCAGTGTCAGCTTTCTAAAGGGAGGATACTGTGACAGCACTAAATTCAACCATTAAAATATACAATACAGACAAAAGCATCAGTTAACAATGCCAATAATAGATATTTGTTCTGTACTCAATTGCACATCACATGACTCCAAAATTCTTATGGTAGAAAATTGTCAAAAATTAGCCAAACCCAACAAAGATATATAAATAGTTAGAATTTATAATGTGAACTATTCACCATATACAATTCACCCCCTCACTGCTTGATAAATGAGTTAATGAATATTTTACTCAATCATGATGATAAATTAACTATAAACCCTTTTTTCTTAGGCTTATGATCAAAATATTATGCAATGAATAAAAATATCCTCTCTAAAACTGATTCCAAAGACAAATCTATCAACCCACCAGTTCTATTTAGTAAGAAGGTTAACATTAATCAATTACAAATGAAAAAAAACCCAAAAAAACAAAGGTATACAAAGTGTTTTATTTCTTTCTCTCCTGTCGCTTATTATACTGATGTTACTATCTTAGATGAGTGAAATGACATGATTTGAATAAAAACTAATTGAATTGTTAATCCAATTTCCACAAGTGACATGTTTGATGCAAATTCAATGGAATGTGCCATTGGATTCTTTCGCAAAACTGCTAACTTACTCCAATGACATAATACTTACCTTTTCTTGGAGATGACAGAGGTGATATACTTTGCCGTAAACCTGTTTAAGATACAAAATTTAGGATTTTAGTTTATGAATGTGAAAAATAAAAGGCAAAAAGAATTTTTTTTTATATCAAATTTATACCAAATTTGTAAAGTTACTAATATTAAACTACTAGTAAGAATAAAAATACTGCTAGTCTTTATGTTTAAATGATTGTTCTTGTTCCACTGGCCATGTCTAGGAATATCTCTATCTATAAAAGGCAGGATGTATGTGTGTGTGTGTGTGTGTGTGTAACGAATGCACGGCTGCAATTTTCGATGGATTTGCACCAAAATTTATATGCACATGCTCCAAGTTAGCGGGAAGGCCAAGACTGACTTTGCATTTCCCAACTCCCATTGATAGTGGAAATAATCAATTTTTTCATGCTTCTATGGCAGTTTTCATGCAGTTTGCGGCAATTTTCTACTGGCCAGAGTGAGAGCCTATAGCTGGCTGCCTCGAATAGACAGGAAGATTCTATTGGCCAGCATGAGAGCCAACAGCTGACTGACACAAATGTTAACTAGCAAGCAAAAAATAAAAAAAATAATTCGATAGCTGCATTCATCACAAGTGGGAAAAATTTAAATCTGCATGGCACTTTACTCCAATTGGCTTGCTTAAACTCAACGTTGATTCTGATTCCGCAGAACTGGGTTGGGTGTGAAAAAGTATTTGTTGTTAACATTCTTTTTTCATTCGGTTTTTCCAGTTATGAGTCCTTTTTTAAAGCTGATTGTTTTGTGTTCATTTTGTTTAGTTCTTATTTCGTAACAGATTTAATGTTTAGTATAGAGCTTAGAAAAAATTTGCAGTGTGATATAGGCAAGTAGCAACATCAGCACGGCAAAGGGCACTCCTTTAAAGACAAGGAAGGGCAAAAATATTTTAAGTCAAGTGATAGCGATTGCTGTAGGAGTTGTACGATTTTTGAATCAAGCACAGGCAACGCTGGGCCATGCTGCTAGTCTGGTATAGTTTTTATTTAGTACTATTCAATTATTTCCACTGAGCTGGTTAGAGTAGACTTACTCAGTGGAAATGAGGCAAGCAATAAGTGAACAGTAGTAAATCAGAACTAGATGAAATATTTATAGACATGGTCAGCAGAACAAGAACAATTAACCACCATAAGTTAAATCAGTTTGAATTCCCTGAAGGCTACCCAGATCAACAAGCACCTGATGATAACAACAAACATGAGGACAATGGTCTGAGTGTAAATAATGATAATTCCTCATCTGAAAAATTAAAACAGAAAATACTTACAAGTATTTTTTTGTAAAGAGTTAAAATAAACACATGTACTTGCATGTGTGATTTAGTGGTTAGAGCAGCAATATAACTGAAAAGTCAGAATTTCCATCATTTCGCCAAAGAAAGACAGAAATAATAAATTTCCATCATTTCGCCAAAGAAAGACAGAAATAATAAATTTCCATCATTTCGCCAAAGAAAGACAGAAATAATAAATTTCCATCATTTAAATAAAGAAAAGACAGAAATAATAAATTTCCATCATTTCGCCAAAGAAAGACAGAAATAATAAATTTCCATCATTTCGCCAAAGAAAGACAGAAATAATAAATTTCCATCATTTCGCCAAAGAAAGACAGAAATAATAAATTTCCATCATTTCGCCAAAGAAAGACAGAAATAATAAATTTCCATCATTTAGCCAAAGAAAGACAGAAATATCATTTCGTAATAAATTTCCATCATTTAAGCCAAAGAAAGACAGAAATAATAAATTTCCATCATTTAAGCAAAGAAAGACAGAAATAATAAATTTCCATCATTTAAGCCAAAGAAAGACAAATAAATAAATTTCCATCAAAGAAAGACAGAAATAATAAATTTCCATCATTTTCCAAAGAAAGAAAGAAATAATAAATTTCCATCATTTTCGCCAAGAAAGACAGAAATAATAAATTTCCATCATTTACAAAGAAAGACAGAAATAATAAATTTCCATCATTTAAGCCAAAGAAAGACAGAAATAATAAATTTCCATCATTTAAGAAATAAATAATAAATTTCCATCATTTAAGCCAAGAAAGACAGAAATAATAAATTTCCATCATTTCGCCTAAAGAAAGATCATTTACAAAAAAGAAATAGTAAATTTCCATCATTTCGCCAAAGAAAGACAGAAATAATAAATTTCCATCATTTCGCCAAAGAAAGACAGAAATAATAAATTTTTATACTACCATTTTGTTTTTTTCTAAAAGACATTTTTTCTCACAGAATACACCTGATGAGGACTGAAGAATAAATCAGCCAAAAAGTGTCAAATGTGTATGAAGAAGAGGTTGAAGTGTATAAACCATATTTAGTTAAAAAAAAGAAAAAGAATAATAGCAGAAACCAAGAGGTTATAGTTAAAGAATGAATTAAAAAATAAATGTCACTTACTTTCTTCTTGTAGCTTAGCCATGTTCTGGATGTCTGAAACATCTGGAATACGATTGAGTGCTTGGCTTTGTGATTCTGCATCTTTATTGGATGCACAACTCTCAGCAGGAATCAGTCGAAGACGATCTTTATTCTTTTTTGGTCGAGTAAATGTATTGGTATCTACACGTGTTCCTGAAAGAAATACAATAAAATACTGAAGTGTTTCTTTTATTATTTTGGCTTTTAAAAATCCACTGATGCTCAAGACAAGAAAGGTAAAAATTAGATAAACGAGGAATTTTCAACAATGTTTAAACTTCATGCATGTAAAAAAAGAAAATAAAAATGTATGTCTAAAAGGATGATTATTCCTCTGACATTGCTATTACTGATATAATTTTGACTCCCTAAGAGTTTATTTACAAGATTATAAAAATTTGTGAACCAAGTATAATGCAATATTTATTATTTAACTACTATAAAGATTTATTATTTACCATTTTATAAAGAAATAAATTTGAAAAGAAATCTTTTTATGAAAAAATTACAAAATCATCAAGATATGAAAACTAACTACAATGCAATATTTATTATTTACTATTTAATGAATAATTATGAAAAGTTTTTTTTATTCATAATTTTACAAAAATGTCGAACTGTAAAAACATGAAAATTTGAATAAACATACAATATATATTTTGCTTTTTAAAACAAACATTACCAAGGGAGTCATAAATGTCAAAGGAATAACTGTCTTTTTGACAGAATGTTTTTTTGCAGGCAGGGAAGGTTAAACATTGCCAAATTTTCATCGTGGTTATGCAGATTAATATGATATTGAGTGCAGTTTTGTCAAGATTTTACACAAAGAACTTTCATGCTGCATTAAACAGAGCCTCAGTTAAGATGCAGATGAAGGATTCAAATACAAGGGGAGGACCACAATAGGAGCATTTTTAAGATACATGGAACATCTTGCTTTTTAAAGGAAGTCATTTTGCAATAAAAAAAAAAAAAAAAAAAAAAAGACATTTTTGAACTGCAAATGTGTTCAACATTTTGCTAAAATAGAGAAAAGATATTTGCAGGATTATTTTAAGACAAATTTCATTAAGATTTTTCTACATTATTTCACAAACAGCATTGCTATATTTTACAAAGGAAATAAAAGGAATTGTGTAAGAGAAATATTAATTCAATATTGTAAGCATTTTATATTGTTTATTATTAATGTTCATTTACATCTATTAATTAATGTCTTAACATGCATCATAATTGAAAAGAAATTATTTGTATGTGTACAGCACATGTAAATAACAACTAAAATTCACAATTATGAAGTTGAAGATTGTTATCCTACACTCACATAGGAAAAACATAAATAAAATGACACACTCACTCTCTCTGCTATTATTGGGAATTTCTTACCAACAAAACTAAGTGATCTAAATATTGCAAACAATAGTTTTCCTAATTATTTCTAATATCAGATTTTCTATTTAGCAAATTAAGATTCTTATAATTACCTTAATATTATTGCGGTGCAACTTACAGCTGAAAATGTCTATAGACACTGCATGTTTGCCTATCTAAATATTTATATTGTATATAAGCAATAAATCATACAATTACTAGACAATGAATATCTCTCTCATGACAGTATGATCAATATATTTAGATCTTGTGAGAACAACATTAGCTCTTGAAACCTGCAAGTGTTTGGCAATGTTTATTGCAGACATGGCAAAATATATTGTTTTGCCTGGCTTATTTTGTAAAGTCTATTCAGCTTACTTGTCAGTTTTCATGTGTGACTGGAGAAGTCCCGGCAGGTTATTTGATACACACTGCATGTTATTTCCAGTGTAGTACCGATCATAATTTGTGAAAGGTCTATCAATATTGCTCTTCTTGTGGCTAACAATGATTGTATTGGAGAAACATACTCTGCCACATGCATCATATGTAAACTGGTGGATTAATGATTTTCCCTTTCTTAGCTGCATACCTCTATATATATATATATATATATATATATATATATATATATACACACACACACACACAACCCAGGGGATCTTAGAATTAACAATAGTAAATGTTCTAAAGATCCCTTTTAAATGGAGAGGTGTTACTTTGATGACAAATCAGTAACAAGTCATTTTGGAACTCATCAAACATTTTTTCTTGGTATCCAAGAAGAGTGTAAGACACTTTCTGTGATATTTTAAACAAATGTAGCTTGTAATATTAAAAAATAAATTCAGTTGATTTATATTTAATGGTCATTTCGGGACAGTTTTTTTTAAAGCAGTTTTAATCAAATACCCAAGTTATTCTGTCATGTTTTTTTGTTTTGAAAAACAACAAAGGAATTCTTTTCTTCAAATTCTACTCTGAAAAAGCTATATTCTGCTATGTTTTTTTGTTAGTGCCTACAAATCTACAGACCAGAAAGATGCATTTAGAATTTTACTATTCATAAGTATCTTAGAGTGTCTGTACTATCAAATGAAATATTGATGAGAGCTGGGATGCCTTTGCATTGATTGTGATTTTTGATATACTGTTGCTATGGACACATATTTGCAAAAGATTTAAGTGAGATCGCAGTCTTATCTAATAAGTTATCTGACAAATAACATCCACAAACATTCAGCATACTGGGAGGCTAACAAGTGAAACACTTTCATCTCTGAGAAATAAACAGAAATAAAGCAAATTCTAAAATACTGCGATTAGACAATTTGTCTTATTTTCCTTTTTGCTTCATATTACAACTTCTTTGTATTATCTTTGCCAAGGCCTCATTTTTCTTACAGGGGGGAATAAGACAAAAAATATATTCTTTCTGGATTTTATATATATATATATATATATATATATATATATTGTATCCCATCAAAGTAGACAAAATTTCTCATTCACCAATGTTGATTACTTATACTTGAAAAAAAAAAAAATCAAAGAAACAATCCAGAATGTAAACTAAACATTTTTTTCTTTCCTCAATATCACTATACAGAACAGATACACTATTTCTGTTTTATTGAAATGCACAAACATGCAAACTAAACAGCTTCTGTTAGGAATAGACACTTATTAACATCAAGGAATGTCTCTTGTGATCTCTCAATTAAATCCATTGTTTTTATATAGCTCCATTATGGGTAATACTAATGTCATTACTGTCAATATTAAATCTAAGATCTTGTAGAATCTTGTTTAGAGTTTACAGATATAAGAAAAAGGAAACTAAATTCTGAAGAAACAGGACACTTAAAAAGGAGGAGTTTAGTTTCCACAAAGATTTACAATAAAAACAAGAATTCTGGAAAAGTGATACTTTTCCAGAGAAAAGTTTTTAGCCAAGAGAAAAAAAAAATTATTTTCTAATGTTATCTTGTAATTAGTAAGATTTTTAGTCTTTTTCAATTATGTTCTATAAAGTCCTTTTCCTTCTACACTTAGAGTGCTTTGAATTATTGCCCCAGTAGCTTTTCTTTTCTCAGCATTGATAATTTTCCAAGTTTTGGAAAAAACAATTTTTACAAGAGATATTAATTATGTCCAAAAAGAAAAGCGAAATATTGTAAGGTTGCATTTGTTTTAAACATATAATCATTGGGAGATTCAATATGCCCTTTCTCTGCACATTATTTTACGGTAGTCTACTTTTAATAAAATAAAATTTTCAATTCAAGCAATCACTCATTCTAATGATGAACAGTAATGAATACATTAGATAATATATTGACATTGTTTTTTTCTATGCTTTGTTCAATTTTTTTTCAATACCAGAAACTAGATATGATGTCTATAAAGAAGCCACTTTGCATAAAAGTATTCTAAAATTAGGTATTTAATGATCACAGTCTCCTCCTAGCATTGAAACTGTATTCAAATCAGTTTTCATTTAAATGATATAGTTACCTTAAAATTTTATAAAAAATAAGATAATGATCAAGTCAATAATATTTCAATTTAGAAGAGAAAAAAAAGACCAATATTTCAAATCTAACTGGACAGTTAAGCATATCACTAAATAAAAAGCATATATACAATTGACAGAGAAATTGTGCAAATAAGAAAATTGTTAAATTCCTTCTGACTCACTAATTAAATAGTGATGTAATGACTTGTACAATAACACCAGAAATGTGGGTGAAATAAAAAAAGTAATGAAGTAAAAAGTAGAACATCCACAAAGTGAAGAAAGCATTCAATTAAACATGGAAGACATAATAGAGAAACTTATTTTTATTTAATGCCATCTATTCTTGTTAAGCAATTTGTATTCTTTGCATAAATCCGTATGTCAATTAAAAATTGATGTTACATCACAACATTAGTTCATGAAATTTGAGTAGGCATTTATTAAGTTTACTTTAATCTTATACAATGCCACAAATGTTGAGCATTCAGTTCAAACAACTACAATAGTAATGGTTAGTAATAACCTTATTATAACTACTCCATGGTTAAGATTCTGGTAAAATTTGAATAAATGAAATATCTACTGATGCCAATATGTTTATTCCAACATTAGAAATTAATAATGGTATTGTCTTCACAAAATGCTTGTAAAATCTTATAAAATTTGAAATGTTAAAATAAATTATTACAATTATTTCCACTTGCAAGCATTGCTCAGTTGCTAGAGAGTAGGATAAGAACAGAGGTTGATATCTTTGCCTTCACTTTTGAAATGTTAAATAGGGAAAATATTTGCCTTACATTTTTGAAAGAATGAAAAAATGAGGTTGCTTCCACTGATAAATAAAGCTTTATAAAGAGATATACAGCTTGATTACTCACACCAACAGTGAACAGTAAAACAAAAGTTTAAAATACAACATTTCAGACTACTTCAGTAGCCAACTTGCCAACTATGTAGCAGAAATGCCCATCCTGCAAATATATCTGAAACAAGAGTAATATACTATTTTTCTCTACCATTCATTCTTCTACTTGCAACAGTTACTTGATTACTACAGCCAGTAGCCATACGATAATACCATATTAAATCAAAGCAGGTAGGAGAAAGAACCTAACGATCTTTCAATAAGTACATTAAGCATGAAAATAAGATAAGGATATCGGTCTGAATCTCGAATGTTATTATTGGTTTATATTGAAAATATTGGAAATTATTCTGTCTTAACAGAATAATTAGTGCATACACATTCATA